GGAAATCTCCTTTTCAATGGTCTTCTCAACCCACAAAGAGATCGGGTAGCTCATGAACTCAGATTAAGCCTCCTCTCCTCAAGGTACTCCAACTGGTCTTCTTTGAGGTGAATGGTCATCTTCGTACCCCTACCAAGACTCTCACCAGAAGTGTCTCTGGTCATGGTGAAAGAACCACCAGCCTGAGACTCCCACACGTACTGCTTATCATCGTTGTGCTTGGTGGTGACAATAACCTTATCAGCAACCAAGTAAGCCGAGTAGAAACCAACACCAAACTGCCCAATCATACTCACATCAGCACCAGCAGCCAAAGCCTCCATGAATTCCTTGGTACCAGACGTTGCAATTGTTCCAAGATTGTTGACCAAATCAGCCTTAGTCATACCGATACCACTATCGATAATAGTTAAGGTCTTGTTAGTCTTGTCAGGAATGATGTGAATGAAAAGCTCTGGCTGACCATCGAGCTTGCTCTTGTCGTCAAGGACTCAAACCTAATCTTGTCCAAAGCCTGTCAAAAACGTAAGCAACAACATATACTAAAAGCCTCAATGCGTACGAGATTAAAGCAAGAGAAAAAGAGAGACATACATCGGAGGAGTGACTGATGAGCTCACGAAGGAAGATCTCTTTGTTGCTGTAAAAAGTATTGATGATGAGGGAGAGCAATTGGTTGATCTCGGCTTGGAAAGCCAAAGTTTCTACGTCTGTCATCTTTCTTGTTGGAGATTCTTCTAACTTTCCGAGTTCTAGGGTTTATCAAGGAGATGACAAAAATATAGGCGAATAGAGTTTTTCTTTTCTTGAGAGAGAAGACAAGTATTTGAAACGAGGACAAGTTATGTGTATATACTAGTGGGTGTTTCTAGATCCTTCTCTAATTTCGAGTTTCCAATTCCATCCATAATGGTAATTTGCTAATTTTAAACATTTAGATCCACGTAATCTACGTCATCATATCTAAAATCAACGTACAAAAATAATACTTAGGTGTAAATCGTAATTTACTTTTTTTTTCGTCAACAGGTGTAATTTACTTCTTTTTCTTGCATAATAATTTAGCTTAATATTTGTTTTAAATTGCATAATTAGGTAACTAATTTCTACATAATAAAATTTAGGTAGGTAGGAGAGAGAACGAAAAAATATATAAAAATACCCTACGAAAATTAAGAAGGAAAATCTGTAAAAATCAGTCAAAAATATTTATTATTAATAGCTAAAATCACTAAAATATCTCATAACTCCATAAAATAGGTTGAACAGAAAGATATCTTTCCCAAATTCGTAACAAAATAAAAATGTATATAGTCAACTATTCGAATGTATATATATTCARYTATTYRTGTAAGCTATTTTAYATASTGATAGTGAACTATAYAKGAC